TGCAGTTGCACTTTGCATATTTAATCTTTTAAGCAGCTCCGCACTTCGTTCCGAAGATGTGCGAATTTTGTTACAGTAGTTCAGTTACAGTGCAGCAGTGAAACCCCATCTCATTCTTAGCATTATTTGAGCGACTATTAAGCATTGTTGGCGGCTGCCTCGCCGATGCCGATCTCCGCACCTTGGCACTCACAAGACACGCTGCTTAAAAATCTTTTCCCCGAAGCGCGACGACGTCGCGGGGTCGTAACTCAGTGATTCGCCACGCACGGAAACCTTAGAAGGGTTGCGGCGAGGACCTGGCCCATGCGTCACCCGGAGGACGCGTCATCGTCGGGGAGGAGGGCCTCCTCTTCCACGTCGAGCCGCGGCTGCAGGGTGGCCGCCGCCGACGGCCCCCGGGGGAGCCATCGAGCATCGCCACCACAGCGCCAATTTAGCACTCGTGTTGTTTGAGCCCCTCGATATGTGATCCCTCCGGGCGCGATGTAAAAGGGTTGATGATTCGCACTTTAGAAATGGTTTCAATTGTCGTCGTAGCTATATGAAGGTGGTATACGCACGCGCGGCCGGCGGGTGGAGCAGGGCATGGGGCCAGGCCGGGCAGCAAGCCACCTGGCCCGACCGGGTCTGTTATCACCAGAGGGGAACACAGACGACCCCCGGCAATGGACTGGCCGGGGCTCGTGTTACGTCCTCTATAATATTCAACCGCTGTCTCGACCCCTGGCGCCCCATCACGCTCGCGGGGCGGGGCGGGGCGAGGTGGGGGTGGTGGTGATGTAGTGGCGGACGGTCATTTGGGCGGTGACGGCGAGGTGTTCGAGGGATGATAATTATTGGCGATGGTGTTTGTGCCCGCCGCCGTTCACTTGGTACGCAACGCAGTACCCCCTCCCCCCTCTCTCCCTCTCACTTCCACCCCCCACTGACTCGGCCGCCATTTCGTACTCGTCCTTCAACCCCCCCCCCTCCTCCTTTCCTCACACTCCTCCCTGACACACACTGGGCCGCCTGCTGGCAGACGAAAACAAGATGTATCGGCGCAATTTTTCCGGCGTGACGAAGCAGCCCTTGCCTGAGTGACCGCGCCACCGCGCAACAGGCTGGCCAAACGAACGCCAGTAGATTTTTATCCACGCCGAGGTCCAGAGGGAATGAGGACGGACGGCCGTCTCTTTGTTCACGCTAAACGGAACTTTAAATTTCACGCGCGTGCAGAAGCTTACGAGCATAATGCCTGGAAGATGAAATTTGAGCAGCGCTTTCTCTACGCGAAGTTTTTTCACGTCTTACCGTCCTCGAGAAGTACCGACGGCGACCGCAGCGGACCCTCACCTGAAACAGCAAAAGAGAAACGTTTAAATGGTTGGCTGACGATAGAGTATCAACTTACGAAGGATTTGATAGTATTGCGAAGGATTTCTTTCTACTATTGCAATTGAGGGATTTAGCCGCTTTGTAGAGCTACGATGCAGTTTCTTCGCATATTATACAGGAAATCGTTCGCAATAAAGAGGTTTCCAGAGTGTATATATGAGGCATCCAGCCGCGCCAATTTTGACGCGAGGATATGCGTCGGCGAGCGCGCGGCTCGTGCGGCCGGCCGGAGGGACAGGTCGCTTAAATCAGGACCCGCAGCTGGTCGGGGTGATTAGGGCGACATGTTAATGAGGTGATACCTCCTCGTCGGGCGGGCCGGCCGCCACCGCCTCCCGGCCCCTCCCCGGCCGCTGACCGGGCCGCCCGCCCAGAGGAGGGAGCGGCGCGGGGCGGGGCTGGTAACGAAGTGCGCGGCCGGCGCGGCCCTCCGGGCGGGGAGGACGGGGCGGGCCGGGGCGGGACGGACGCCCCGCGGGGAAGCGCAGCAATTGACTTGAGCCTCTCCCCTTATTAACGCCTCGTACGCACCGCCCCGGCCACATGCTGCGCCCGGACGACGTTTTATTATAAACTCGAAGAAAACGCCGGCGCAGGGAGAGGGGGCGGGAGAGAGGGCGAGAGGGAGGGGGAGAGGGAGAGGGAGAGGAAGGGAAAGGAAGGGAGAGGAAGGGAAAGGAAGGGAAAGGAAGGGAGAGGAAAGGAGACGGAGGGAGAGGAAAGGAAAAGGAGAGAGGCAAAGGGAGGGAGAAAATGAGAGCAAGGGGGAGAGGCAGAGAGAGCCCCTGTGCAGTACAGTCTCGGGTACTGGGCTACGACAACTTCATCCCGCCTTCGTTTGCACCCCTGCGTCCAAGGCGCTACACCACCCTGCGCCCCACCACACGGGCGCCCGCTGCTGACGTCACAGCCCGTAACTACCCGGACAACGTTATCAAGTTACGGGCTTCATTTCGTTGACTGTCCGTTCGCCCCGGGCCCACACGCCCACCCCCGACTGGACCCGGCCCGGGGCCACAATCACTCAGTGCGCCGCTATATGAGCGCCGGACCGTCCGGTGCCGCGTGCCGCGTGGACCACCACCCCTTGTGTTGCTGCTGTTGCTGCTGTTGCTGTTGCTGCTGTTGCTGTTGCTGCTGCTATTGCTGCTGTTTGCCGGGGACGGCTTTATTACTTTCAATTGTTTCCGCGCCGGGGCCCCAAGGTAAACATCAAGCACCCAGAGACTGGCGTATCTCAGGGTGGCACGAGGTGGAGTTACGTACGATATAGTATATACCGCCCACACTGTCTCTCCCTCTCATATCGGTCAGAGGCTGCTGACGGTCGGACATGAAGGGTGCAGCAGTTCTGGCCACGTGCACCCCCCCCCCCCCACCTACCCCTTTCCTTTCTGGTACCGCCTGCCTGTCCGGTGCTACCCAGTGGAGAGGAGCGAGAGAGACAGACGAACCGGAGGGAAGGAGGCCCTCGGGGCAGCACGCGTGCGCCGGGGCGAGTGCCGGACCAGGCCACGCCACCACGTGACCCGAAGTGACCACCCAGCAGCAGACACCCAGAAGCAGGCACCACTCTCCGGCTCGGCCCGCGCCGAAACCGCTGAGCAACGCGGGAGTCAAGCGGCCCTGGACAAGACCATAAACAACCCCTGTGGTCTCTCTACCGCCCTGAGTACCAGCGGTCAGCGGAACTGGAAGAACAGGAGTGTTTAGTAGAGTGTCAAGAAAAACCAACGTCACCGATTTGTAAATAACCGTTAATTTG